GGGTGGGAAGGGTCAAGGAGGTTACCTGCATCCCCTCCCTCCTTTATTTTCTTCATCTCCAAACACTTTTGCCTTTGACTTATTTCTCCCTCTCTAACAACAGAGAGTCCGTTTGTATGGCCATCTGCAAGCTCATAGTTAGATTACTGATGTATGAGAGAGCTATTTGGAGTGTGAAAGTCAGCAGTAGATCTAAGTGAGGCAAGCCTCCCCACAAAATCTTTGCTTGCAAATATTTGCTCTTTTCGACTGGAATTATTCTTCCTTTTGACCTGGTCACTCTGAACTTGATCAAGGAGGTATTTGAAAAACTATCTGATGAATAGGCTAAACTACCTTCACCTGACACTGCCATTTTCCATTGCTGTTCACTTGATAGAAATTCTCCTCTGTTCTGATTAGCTGAGAGATTTTTAAGCACAAAAGAGGAATCCATGACAATTTACCGGCAGCCTTATTATAGGGTTAGAGGCTCCAAGATTTGCTGATAATAAAATGTTTACAGATAACAAAGTTTAGTTGAGCTCTTATTTTTATTTTTTACTGGTGGGATATTTACAGTAAAAAACGTATGCGGAGGAATGTGCCACTAAAGACTAGAATTCAGATGATCTTGAACCGAGGCAGGGCATCAAACTTGTGCTGTGCAAAGGGAGGTCTTCCTCTCTGATCCATCCTATACTTGGTCTACATTATTATTTTTAAAAAAATGTACTGCTGCAAGTTAAAAGGAAAATGGCTCTAGCAAATTCATACCAAGAAGGCATAACACCTCAAAAAATTTTCCCTACCATTAAAAAGATGATCTATTAAAATCTGGTGCATAAAAAATATACAGTCAAACACCGCTTTATATAAACAGACGCCCGCTTAATACAGATACCTTGTTAACAAACACTTTTTTCTGCCTCCCTCAGTGTCCGTATTTATAAAAGGGTTTGACTGTAAAACTTATCTGAAAAACAGATGCATCCCTAGAATCTTCAACAAATTTTTTCAACTCATAAAATTTGTTGGGTGGGGCTGGGATAGGTGATGATGACCCTTTTCCTCTGCCCTGAGTGTTTTGGATTCTATCCTAGATATGACATGAAAAACTTAACTTCAGATGGTTTTTATACGTCTAGCTTGTAGGTGTACACGGTATTTTTTCTTGAGGAAAAGATTTCAGTGCTTTTTTGTGCTATTACTAAGGTATTTAAAACAAACTTTTCCTTTCGTCAAAACGAGGAGAAGCTGGCGTGGGTGCTATGACATTAAGTTGTTGTTGTTTTTTTACAAATAACGATTATTGAAGTGTTCCAAAGTTTGTCGTTCAATATTTTAGATATGTGCAAGTTTTCACAGTTCGATGTTCACGTTCTTTTTCGCTGTTAGGTTATCCTCATCATGGGGTTCATGTCCTTCAAGGTATCCAACTTTAGCATATTTTGCCACGTAAAGCTTGTTGTAAATACCATCCAAACGCGTCAGTTCCTCGTCCGATAAATCATCCTTAAAAATAAAGCAAAAGTGAATTTATATTTACAAGCAAGCGAAAAAAGAACCTGGAAGAAAAAAAATGCATGGAAAAAAAATTACTAGCAGAGCGAGGTTTTGATCCTCGGACCTCTGGGTTATGGGCCCAGCACGCTTCCACTGCGCCACTCTGCTGCCGATGGTATATCTAAGTAAATTTTATATTCTTTATTCTACACAATGACGCAAGTTGTCACGCAAGCTTTTCTCACCAAATCGTCAGTCAGATCTTCCTTTGACATCGACCACTTTGCGAGTGCTCTTGACGCATCTTTACCAGAAAACAAATTATATTTCCCTCCAGGTCCATACACTTCTACAACATAAGGGAAAATTCCATATTTATATTAACTTTTTTATTTACTCTGATAGTGACTTGTATTAAAGATGACCAATATCTGATTTAGAAATTATAAATCCACAAATCAAGACTTGAAAAATATGATCTTACCTCTGGAGTCCGAAACATCGAACACAATTCCTTTGATTGAAACGTAGATTGGAAGAGAAGGCTGGAATAGAAAACAAAGATAAACAATTTTTGTGTATTTAACCAATGAAAGCGGAAATCTTGAGCAGAGTTTTGCTATTATCAAAAACTGCGCTGTCATGAAATCTTTTTTTAAGATATGATGCATCGTATCTGCTTTCTATTAGATGACTCCACTTTAACCCAAAATGAGGAAAAATAAAAATATCTTCATTTCTTGAGTTCTTATTCTGCTACAAGCAACTACATTCTTACATCTTCACCGTTGTATTTTGCCAACTCTTCCTTGGAAAACACTTTGTTGCCGTCTTCGTGGGCCACATTTTCATTTTCCTCTGAAAATGGTGAGTGATCGTCTACATTTTCAAGCGTTACATCTACCGCCAACGAGATAATCACTAGGAAAGATAACACGCTAAAAGACACTGCAAAACTGCTCGCCATTTTTGCGTAAATTTGCATCTTTTTGTCATTCAGTCCGTTACGTTACACTTGCATAAGGGGAAGTGAAAAAATTCACGTGACCGGAAGTAACTACCGTTTCCCGCCATTTCCAGGATTTGTCGCGGGTTGCCGTTTGCTTGTGACTGCGACCTTTTCAAAGTTGCGATCCAGTTTTGAAAAAGTTGTCTTACATTCTAGAGAAAACTCAAAAGCTGACGATAATTTCTTCAGTAACTAAAGCTAAAGGTACTTTGTTTTATCTAGACACACGTCGCATTCGATTTACATATTTCAGGAGCCCATCATTTATTTCTGTAGACATTTCCCTTCCAAGTCCTCTGAACCCTTCGGCTTTCAAGAGTTTTTGATACAGTTGCGCTTTAAAAATTATTTTTTCCTCTGATTTCTTCTTTCAATAATTCTGTTATTCTCCGGTAAAGGAAGTAAGGCTATGCCTTTTAAAATAAGTAGCTTAGCGCAGAAAGAGAAACCTTAAGGCTTAACTATAACCTTCCCCATTCTCAGGGATTGACTGCATTTGATCGGTCCTAGTGCCACGGTACTTCTCAGCATTTTGTAAATGATCGTACACGAAAACAAAACTGAATGCAAAGCTGGCATTACGGCTCAGGGCTGATTTATTGTAGGCCAATATTTCGGCTAACAAAATTAGTCTTCCTCAGAGCCAGAGCTACACTAAAAGAGAATACTATAACGACTCTTAAGATTTGAATTTAAATTTACACAAGAGGTTATATAATGATTAACTAAAAATGAGGACGGTAGATAATATGATAGATAGGTAAATAATAATAATTATACCATAAAGTGAGTGATAAGATACAGTTCAACGTTCGTCCTTGCGGTTTAAACCATGTTTTGAAAGAGTTTTGCCTCTATTTATGAGGTAAAAAAAGTAGTAGAAGTAGCTCTTAAATAGTTTGTCACTTAGTTTGTCCATATTCGTTCCACCAAATAGCTGAAGAGAAATGGTTAGGATTAAGCAGACTACCGAGAGGCGCAAGCCATTGGGAATAAACCACAGACTTGTTTACAAGTCTTCCATACCATCCAGAATTAAAACATACACTAAAGGAACTGAAGATGACCTGGTTCTTCCTATTTCTCCTCTGAAAATAAGTGCTCTTCCCCCGACTTCTCGCCCGATCAAGAAAATAAGACGATACCGCCCTGGTTCCCTGGCTTTGAAAGAAATTCGCAGGTACCAGAGGAGCACCGCACTGCTAATTGGGAAGTTGGCATTCCAACGGCTTGTTCGTGAAATTACTCAAAATTTCGCTCCTGGCTTGAGATTTCAACCACTGGCACTGCTCGCTTTACAAGAGGCGGCAGAGTCATATGCAGTCGGCTTGTTTGATGATGTGAATTTATGCGCTATTCACGCAAAAAGGGTTACGATCATGGCACGAGATTTACAGCTTGCTCTCAGGATTTGAGGAGACAGGCTTTCTTAATAGGATGTGACATTTTTTGCCCTTCTAGCCAGTTGTATTGGGAGACCGCGCGAAACATTCAACACACGTTCTCTGCGTGTTGCACTCATTCTTTAGCTTTTTCGCATGCCGCCAACTATGAAACAAAGTTAAGTCAAAAGGAAGCCAGATTTCTTAAATTAAAATGTTAATTTTGGGAAATGTTAATTCAAGTGTTCTTTTTAATGAGAATAAAATTATTGTAAGTCCACAAATCCAAATAAAGACTAGAAAGAAGTGAGGTTGTCCGAGGACGTGATTGGAGCTTGCGCACACATTCGAATGTAATTTACAAACGGCTACGCACTCCAAGCCAATCTCATCTCCAGAGCCCTCGATAACCTCGTCCAGTAAAACAATGCTGACCACAACAACCGCAGCCTATGGGAACGATATTGACACCCGCCTTTTTGCATTTTAAAATTTCAACTTTAAAACCCTGATAAAATCGATCATAGCTCACGATTCAGGGGCAATTATGTGAGCTAAGCCCCTTATTTGAGGGTCTCAATGGGGTTAACCGATAGCCGTAAAACGGCCAAAAATTTAGCCGATAGCCGTAAAAATTGAAAAATTTTAACCGTTAGCCGTAAATAGGGTAAAAAAAAGTTAACCGTAAAAGGATTATTCGTGTGAGACGGGTTATCCGTTTGATGATTCGCGTCAGATAGGTAATACGTCTTAATTTGAAAATGGAATAGTTTTAATTTTGAGTGAACAATCCGCCTGACTTTTGAAGACGGGATTATCCGTTCCAGGTAGCCTTGGTACAGCCGCCCCCTCCCCTCAGAAAAAAATCGGAGAAGGGGTGTCTGTGGGGAGGGCGCGACAGTACACAGGCTAGTCTCGGACGGATGATCCATTTCTAGCTCTAGTGTGAAAACGGCCAAAAACAAAATTCTCTTGTCCAGTGTTTTTAATGATAGCGAAGGACTGCACGGAACGACTGTCTGCCATTGCCTTGTTCGTAGGCCGCATTATTCCGCGCGGCTAATGCGTTTCGGTTCATGTGGTCCGAGCGAGTTCGCCACCGAAATGCCTTGACCGAGACTGCGTGGGAAGACGCCGTGTACAGGGACTAGGCATAGCAATGTCTACCGTAGCGTCAGCGGAGAAAAACAGGGAAGTGTTGTTTATCGGCAACGTGTTTTACAAACAGTGACATCGCTGCGTGCTGTTTCACTAGTGTTTCGAGGGCACGACCTCCCGAAAATTGCAGATATTAATCCCCAGTAAGAAGCCACACTTTCGCTATGGAAAAAATTAGTTCCCCGATAGAGCGCCGGAAATGGAGCCTAGGTCTTGGTTAACACCTAAAAGGCGCTTCGCCTAACGTGCGTACGGAGCCACACTAGCCGGGAAATAAAAAACACAACCATAGGTGAGTTTAGTACCTTCCTTAAAAGTAGCAAATCTAAGGAACACTTTCTTCTCTAGTGTGAAAACGGCCATTTCTGGTATAATGAATGTCGCCCCGGCCTTGAGTTGGGCGTTTGCTTGTCTGCTTTTGCTTTTTCACAAAGATTATTTTTAAATTGAGTATTGACATTTCTATGTGTAAAATAATATTAGAAGTGGATTACTTTATAAAAAGTATGGTCTATCCAATGTGAAAATTTTTCAAAAGAATGGCTTATTTTATCCCGAGATGATCCGAAGACCTTTATTTTGATTTAAAAATACAAAAAAATACAGGTTAATTAATATTTAACTTTTTGAAACAAAAGCAGTTAATTTTTAACTTTTTCGTTAACCGTAACTGAAAAAAATTAACCGATAGCCGTAAAAGAGCCAAGATTTTAGCCGATAACCGTAAATGCCACCACCCCATTGAGACCCTCTTATTTCATTCATTTTCCCCTTTAGACAACACGTGACTACTGCGTCTTTCTGAACAAACTTGAACCACGTTACAGATTTAGATTCACGTTAAGGTTAACCGGTATAAACGTCCGACTTAAGTTAGTCTCCCACGAGACAAACAACGGCTGCGTAGACGACTTTGGTGATAAAATTTTATCACTTAACTTTGGACAAGAGTTTCATTTTAAATTCTATACGAAAGTAATTTCTACTAGAAATGCATTTTGTTTATACTGGCTCTCTGTTGCTAGTACCTCTCTCCTACGCAGAGCTCCCGCTGGGTATTCAAATAAAAAATAGCAATGACCAAAAAATAGAAAGCGCGCGGGGAAAGATGGGAGGAGGGGAAAAGACCTCTCTTCTCCTCTTTTCACATCATATCTTTCCCGCACATTTTTCTTTTTTCCCTCTCCCCAATCTCCATCCCTCCCTACGACACAACGAGGTCTCTGTGGGGGAGAGATCGCGAGCAGTCCGAGCACGAAATAAATGGTGGTCCAAAAGCAGTCCCTTGAAGGACCTTGTAACGGCACGTAAAGGCTGTCCACGTCTCGAGTTATTTTTAAGACCATATATCCCAAGGGGGATTAGACAACAGCCAATCACATAGCGCGAATGTGTTCCACGTGGATGACCCGCCCTCAGAGCCACGCGTCCTTCACGAATTGACGCAGAAAAAAATGGTGGAAGACGTGGAGAGCGATATTGCTATTTGTTTTGTCGACGAAAACGACTAAAGAGAGATTTCTGCTAAAGCTATGTCAGCGAAACGGAAATTAAAAAACAATCGCCCTTCCTCTCTTGTATAGAGCTAACACTACAGCAGGGAAATCCTTAACACACTGAATATTCTCTCAGGATCATTTATAATTTACAGTTTGAAGAGAGCAATTTCTGGTTTGATATTTATTCTTTTATTAGTCTTTTATTATTCAACTAAAATAACACTTGGCGTCCTACTTGTTTTATTGTGCAAACGACCGGTTTCAATAAACCGGCGAAATTTCTCATTTTATTAAAGCACTGAGGTTACGACAACTTCGAGTTAAACTGATTTCAGCGGTTGTCAAAGAGTCCAGCGATTCCCTTTTCCCAGGTGAGCGCCGACTCATTTCGCTTCAAGATTCAGGAATGCTCTCGATCTCTTTACGCTTTCATTGCCTTTCGCCCGACATGTTTTGCACGTCGTTTAGTCATGTGGAACCTCCACGAAACATCCACGCAGCGCGCGAGGTAACTTTATCCCGATTCTAAAAATAACTCGAGACGAATTACCTATGGAATAGGGTGTGTATGGGGGATGCCTTCTCTGTCCCCTTTATCCTCTCGTGGTTAGATGGAATACGCGTCAGGCTGATTTAGCAATAGAACGAGAACGTCATTTGACGACGATGGGAAAGCGCGCGGAAAGGACTAAACTCGACTTCCGGTGCCCAATTTGTCGCTCTGCCAAGCGCTCTGCCATTGGTCAAGCCAGTTGTTTGATTTGCGCACGTCGTCGTCAACCTGGTCGTCAATTGACCTTCCATTTCTGTTGCAGTAACATGGTCAAATGTCCCAAGAATCTCCTTCACGATTGGGCTTAACACTTTCAAAAAGTAAAGGTAATAAAGGCGAGATTGTGAGCTTTTTACAGCAAAAAGTCGCACTGTGGGAGACTAGTCAAGGTGAAGACCGGAAAATGTTTCTTTC